GAGGGGCTGCAGGATGCCATGATGGGCTGCAGGATGCCATGATGAGCTGCAGGATGCCGTGAGGGGCTGCAGGATGCTATGAGGGGCTGCAGGATGCCATGATGCATCACCGCAGTCTCCTGTTCCCCTGGCCAAACAAACCCAGGCACTTCCGCTGCTCCTCACGCCTCTTCCCTCCAAATCCTTCTAACTGCTCTCCCCTTGCTGGCCTTGCAGCTCCCGAGGTGACTCAGGAGACGGTGGAGTCCCTGATGCAGAAGTTCAAGGAGAGTTTCCGCACCAACACTCCCATCGAGATCGGGCAGCTCCAGCCCGCGCTGCGCAGCACTTCTGTGGGGAGACGCAAACGCCGGAGCCGACCCCGAGGTAGGATGGTGCTGGGATGTGTGTGCGTGGGGATGGAGCTCTTCTTCTGGGATGGTGAGCAGATGTGTCTGCCCAGCGCTCTGTGGGAAGCTGGGCAGGATATACTGTGCTTTCTGTTTACTATTGGGTTTGTTTTTCATTTATTTATGAGTCTGAAATGTGATCTTTTATTCTGGATACATTTTGCTGCTATACAGGCCTGGAGAGGGCTTTTTTTTTTCTTTCTTTATAGCGCTGTCCATAAATTATTCACTCAGTGTGAAGAAAACGTTCTGACTCTTTAACTGGTTTAAATTATTTGGTATGTTTTCTAGTCGTTATTCAAATCCATGTAGCTGGATTTTAGTGTGGCCAAGGGGGGAAGCTTTGGGGTCCACAGTGACTGCCTGCTGAAACTTCCCTGATTTCCTGCTCCAGATTCTTTTTTTGTTGTTGTTGTGGTTTATTTTATGGTTTTATTTCGCTTTAAAGCACGTGTAGGCAAGAGGCTTTTGGTCACTAATAGAACAGCTGTATTAATCCTTTCAGCTGAACCTGGGAAGAGGTGTGATGCCTGCTGCTGGAGCACAGCATGAGCCAGCTGCCCCAGCACCCATCCCTGGGGGATGTCTCCTCCATCCCAACACACTGAGCTAGTGCTCCTTCCTACAAAACCTGTGCTCCATGTCCGCTTGTGCCACAGGGTGTTGGGGGAACGTCCTCCAAATGGTCTCTAGGGCAGGAGGAGGCTTTTTGAATGTACTCCAGGTGGTCCCCAAGGCAGAAAGATGTCTTCTGAGCATCCTCCAGAAGGTTCTTAACAGCCCAAAGGCAGGAGGAGGCCTTCTGAAAATCTTCTAGAAGATGCCTAGGAGGTCCTTATGATGGGAGGACATCTGCTAGACATCCTCCGAATGGTCCTCAGGGCAAGTGGAGGCCTTCTGAATGTCCTCCAGGTGTTCTCCAAGAACACCAGAGCAAAAGGAGGTCTTCTTGAATGTACTCCAGAAGGTCCTTAGTGCAGGGGAAGGCCTTCTGAACATCCTCTAGAAGGTCCCCAAAGCTCCAAGACAGGAGGAGGACTTCTGGACATCTTCTAGAAGGTTCCAAGGGGCACATTAGAGTGAGACCCATGGTGTAAAAAAGCACGCAAACCAAGGCAGCTCCAGCAAAGAGCTCCCCATGGTCCCAAGCTCTCCTTTTCCTCCTGTTCCTGTTCTTCTCCACCCTGAGGGCCGTGCCTGGGCACTGCTCTGTGCTGGGAGTGAGGGTTTTACAGCCCACATTTAATTGTCCCTGCAGTGGTTGGAGCGCTCCCGAGCATTAAGGTTAAATGATGATATCACAACTTACGATGTTTGCATTTTACATCCGATTGCAAACACAAACCCTTCGCCTCATTAATCCTTTGCAATCCTTTTGTTTTTTTCTTTTCTTTTTTTTTTTTTTTCCTTCCTCCCTCTAAATGAAATTGTCCGTTTGGGATGCGTTTATTTCCCTCTAACAGCCACATGACAGTTCTGCTGATGGAGTTTGCATCCAACTTTGTTACTGGGTAGTGACAAGTTGGCCTGACGGATGCGTGTGTGTAATTATTTTCTTGCGGTTCGATTTAATTAATGCTTAACCTCATCAGAGTCCTACAGCTGGAGGGCTCTCTCTGCAAGAACTGCTCGCAGCCAAAGGATTTTCTCCTTTGCAGAAAGGCTCCAAAAGGTCCCTGAGTGCAGCACGGCGAGAAGGGAGGCCTGAACCAAACAGCAGCAGAAAACAAACAGTCCCAAACCTCAGCCCTAGAAAAACAAATCTCAGCTAAGCTCTTCCTTGCTACGTGTCCCCACACTAAGTGCATTTAAACTGCTGCCTATTGCTTGTCATTAAATCTGACTCTGCTCTAAGTGTTTCTAACAGCTCTGAGAAAGGTCATATTTTGCCAAGATGTGCTTTTATAAAAAAAAGGGAAAAAAAAGCACGAACCTTCTCCATTTACAGTACCACATAACTTCTTTGAGTGCAGTGCCTTTTTCGTACAAACTTTCTCCCCAGACGCTTTTATTGAGTGGAGTGCATTTAAGCTTTATAAATAATACAGGGAAGGAGGATGGTGTGAGAGCAGGTGCAGGAGGGTGGCTCCTGGCTGCAGGTGATGGTGGGCTCCACATTGCTGGGGCTGCACTAGGAGCCCTACACTTGCCAGGATGGGAACACGCTGTGCTGCATGCCCATTGCCATGCTGCTTGTCCCCGTGCCCCCCCTCCCAGGGCCAGGCTGTCCCCAAGGCCACTCCAGGACCAGGAGCTGGGCTAGGTGCTCAACGGAGAGGGCTGGAGGTGGCCCTGGGGAGGTGGGTACACTCTGAGAGGGGTCTGGTGCCCTCTCCTGGGGCAGGAGCTTAAAAGCACCCTGGCCATCGGTGTGTTGGTGAAAGTCACCTTTGCGTTTGTAAAAAGTCCCCAAAATGCAGCACTGGAGTGGGGCTGGTGGCTAAGAGCTCCTGTGCTCACACACAGTTCTCCTCTGCTTTGGTAAGTGGGAAAGGTCCGTAGGTGCTTTGCTCTTTTAAAATAAATGCGTGATTAATGGACTGTTCAATCCGAGGCATGATTTAGTGTAGAGCAGGGCTGTGTCTTAATGTATTTTAGAGGTCACCTCTGTGCCATAATTGACCAAAAGCTACAGACCCCAGAACTGCAGCTCGGACAGGCTGTCCCCATTGCTGCTCTCCTCCCTTCTGCCCCCATCCCACTTTTTGTGGCTCACTCAGGGCATTCACCTCAGGCAGGTCACAGCATCACATCCTGCTCCTGTCGGGTTCTCCTGATGGAATCAGGATGCAGTGCTGCCATGCCGTAAAGGTTGGGGTCTTGGCAACTCCTGACAGCAGTCCTAAAAGCAGAATTCCTGAGAATCTGCCTCTCTTGCCCACCCAATGTTTTCGTGTCACAGCAGAGGGGCTGTGGGGACATTGCCACCTTCCTGAGCCACCAGGTGGGCTTTGTGGGACTATCTGGAGCCCTGGGATCTGTGCTCATGCACTTGGCCACCCCAAATCCCCAAATTACAGGGCCTGCCCAACCCCAGCTGAGCTGCAATGCATGCACCTGTTAATGATAGGATCCTTAATTGTGTGATCATGGGACGTGTTTGCTTTGGATCCCTTCCTCACTCCCACCTAAATGAGCATCAGACTGAAAACCCACATCAGCACAGCACAGCAGCGTTTGAGGGCTGTTTGAGAGGATTAATGAGTTTGTCAATCTGCAAACAGGATTAGCAGCAAGAGCACCTTATTGAGACGTCTGGCAAGTGCTCAATGTGAGCACCTTTCTGCCGTCCTTTGGGGCTGGCTTCAGCTGTGGGTGCTGGGGGAGACACCAGCAGTGGGGTTTGGGAGTTGTTTGCTGTGCTTTAAAATAGATATCTCAGTCTTGTAGGTTTTGTGGGTTTATTTTTTTTTTTGTGGGGGGGGGGGTGGGGGTTTAGCAAAGTAATTGTGGTGTCAGCTCCCACTTGCTAAAAGTTTCAGTGCAGTGCTGCAGCACTCCCATGGTGCTGGCGTTGTGCTGCGCCAGCACAGCTCTGCTGCTGCAGTACTGCTGCAGGGGGGCTGTGTCTGTGCCACCTTATCTCCACCCACAGCACCTCATTCTGCTTCGGGATTGGGGTGGTGATCGGGGTCTGCTCCATCCCTGTGCCCTGAAAACCACCACCAAGATGAATCCCAGTGCCCGCAGCAGCTGGGCAGGATAAAAGCATCCCTGCCCTGATGGATTGGAGCAGACGTTTCCACCACGGGCTGGGGAGCTGCGCTGGGTCCCCACCTCCTGTACTTTGGCATCCTGCACGGTTCTGGGTAATCAGAAAATGCAATATCGCTGTCACCAGTTCTCCGAAGACATCCAGCCTGAGTAATGTAACATGTCAGCACCATCCATCACGGAGATGCGGGCAGCAAGCAAACACGGGGCAGCTGGGGGCCAGGATGTGGGCTGGCACGAGACTGGGCCAAGCTGAACCTGGCCCTCTGCCCTGCAAAAAAGCGTGGGGTTTTGCTCCGTGCCTTTTGTGCAGTAAGGCAGCACTGCTGCAGCCATCCCTGCTGCTGTGCCAGCACGGCTGCTAGCTGCTGGCCCTGCGGTTTGCAGCTTGTGTGGTGGGATGGGAGGGACCCTCAGATTCTGGGTTTGAGGGTCTGGAGGCAAACCTGTGAATGGGGTCCCAGCCCCACAGCCACTGGCATCAGTGCTGTTGTCAGCTCTGTGCTGTATTAATGCCCTCCTGCTGCTTTCTAGGACCCTAATAGAAATATCTCGGTAACACCAGGTAATTAATGGTCACACTTAAGGGCCCTAAATCACACCTGGTAGTAAAGCAGCAAACACCAGGCAGCGTTTACAGCAGCGTGAATCACCTCAGAGCCCTTCATTCCCGTTTCTCCTCAGTGCCTCCCACCCTGGGCACTGCTCGGCTCCAGCCCTCGGTGCTGCTGCTGGGCATGGCCTGAGCACAGCACAGCAAGCCCCTGCTCCAGCCCATCCCTTGGAGCTCCGGATCTGAAGGCTCTTCCACCCACCTCTCATCCCAGTGATGGAGAATTCCCAGGGCAGGAGGCAGCACTTTCGTTTTCTGTTCCCCTGCCAACAATCTGCGCTGCTGCCTAGAATAAAGGATTTTTTAAAAACAGTAAAATATTTTAATGGCGGTTTAAAGGCCCACTGTCAACCTCCAGGGGCCTCTTTGCTTGAAACTTTGTTAGGATTGCAGGCCTCCTGCCAGCACTGCTTCTCATCTGTCTTTCCCTCTGTGTCACACGGAGGTGGCACACAGAGGTGTCTGTGACTCCCACGTCCCCACTGTGTGCGGGGAGCAGGCAGACCTCAGTGCTTGGGAGCCAGCCCTGCACTGGGGGGTCCTGATTGCTCCTAAGTGCAGGATCTGTTCTTTTATTTCTGCTGTGGTTTTTCTGTGCAGTGAGCCCCTGAGATTCACTGTGCTGCACTGTGTGGGTGTCTCTGGGAGGAGCAGCTCTCGAGTGCGGAGGTTTTCTTTGTAATATCCGTTGCAGTTGTCTCATGGTAGCAAGCACGCCGTGAGCATTTGCTCATGCTGCCATTGGCGTGAGGGCAATTAGGTATTGGCAGAATCACAAGTGATCAAAGTGCCTGGCCACCTCTGGAGGCCTCAAGGCACTGCTGCCCAGAGCTGTGGGTGCCCCATCCCTGGAGGTGCCCAAGGTCGTGGATGGGGCCCTGGGCAGCCTGAGCTGGTGGGGGGCAACCAGCCCACTGCGGGGGTTGGGGCAGGGGGTGCTTTGAGGTCCCTTCTGACACAATCATTCTGTGCTTCTCTGATCTTTTCTTCTCTGTCACTTCAGGTGGCATCGGCTTTGGTCGCGCCAAAGGGAACTCTGGCTCAGAGGCGGATGATGAAACCCAGCTCACCTTTTACACCGAGCAGTACCGGAGCAGGAGGCGAAGCAAAGGTAAGAATTAAACAGCCACTTGTGCTGCAGGTGGCTAGAAGAGACAAAGGGGGCTGAGCAGCTTGACTGCACCCTTGGGTAATGCATGACTGCAGGTAAGGACGATAGTAGTTTGTATAGGGACAGCATCCTGAGATGCAGTGTTTCTGTGGTGCTGTGGGGTGTGGGAGCTGCTGATAGCTTTACCCAGTGATATTGTTGGAGTTCATTGTTTGTTGGTTTCTGGTATCAGTCATCTGTTTCAGCAGGCCAGGTCGTTGCTTCCAAGCCCCATTTCCCCATGGGGAATGCTGGGGATGCTTCCTCCACAAAGCTTCACTGGGAAGCAGATTCAGAGCTGTGCCATGGGCCTGCTCCCTATGCTTTCCATGTTCGAGCAGAGAGCAGCACACCAGAGCAGTGCCTGTACCCAGCACAGCACACACCTCCTTTTGTTCCAGTGATGAGGCACTGGGATAAATGCTTGCAATGTGTTGATTTGAATGTGAAATTACCTCAGCACCTGTGATCAGCTCGATGATTGCATGGTGGAATAAGTGTGTGCACACATGAATGTATTGTGTGTGTTCCTGCTGAAATGTGGGGATTCCATGTTTTCCTGTGTGTTTTAGAGCCACGGGAAATTACCACTGGGTTTAAAAGGAGCTTTGGATGGAAGGCCAGGAGAGAAGTCAAGGTGGAGTTACACTGCAATGTTAATGCAGCTGGATTAAGAGTAAAATGGTTTCTTGATACCTGTTTTTGAAAACAAGGAAGAAATGTGTTGTGTGGCACACAGTGACAACAGAAACAGTGCTGAAATTTGGTGGCACAACTGGGAAATGCTCCAGACTCCTTTGTTCTGTGAGTTACACTGCAGTGCTTGTGTGCAAGCCCATGGGTACTTTGGGAAAGTTGCTGAAGTTGGGTTTTCTCTCTTGTTTCATTGGGAAGGGGATCATTGGGTGCAAGCAAGGGGAAAAGATGTGTTGTAAGGGAAAGCAAATAAAGCCTGGCTTTCCTGCTGCCTCTGCACCTTTCCCATTGGGCCAAGTGCTCCATCAGTCTCTTGAAACCCCCTATAGCTACTGCAGAGACATCTAAGGTGTGTTTGTTTGAGCTGTTTGTTTATGCTTCCTTTACAGCAAGGAGAAGGGAACAGATAAACAGGAAGAATGCTTTATTTTCCTTTGAATACAGAGTTGTTCACCTGAGCAGCTTTGATGGCTGAGTTAGAAGGGAATTCAGGAGGCAGAGCTGGCTGTTAGATCTGTGTTAGGGATTGAGTGATGCTGCAGAAAGCAGCTTTGTTTGTGTTTGGTAATGGCTAAACAAGGGAATTGTCTTGAGTAAAGTCCCCATTGTATTTTCCTTCCTGTCTAGCTAAATTTTGCCGTCACTGCGTCCTTGAAAGGAATTTTCCATTATCCTTTCATTGACTTCTTTCTCCCTCGTGGAAGTGAAGCAGTAGCTTAGTGGGAAGTCACAGTACCAAACTCATAATTACGGGTTCAGAAAGATCCATAATTGGACAAGATCATAATTCTAATGGAGAAGGACGCGTGGTCAGATGCGGTTAATTCGTACAGTGCTGTTCCCCTATCGATTCTGTGATGGTTGTGTGTCACTGATGATGCTGCAAATAGTTATCGGGTCCGAGGAGAGAAATTCCTCTCCTCACTTTTGCAGATCTGAGCTCAATTACCAGCGCCGTCATTGATCCCAGCCGGTGTGATGGCAAGTTTCTGCTCCGCGCCGTGCAGGTTGGCTGTGACTTCGTGCCACGCCAAAGCAAGCTGGTTAAGTGGTCGTAGGCTTAATTTGTCTGCAGCAGAAGAAAAGCTGCAGGTTTCATGGGGCCCAGGGGTGTGCTTGACAAGGTAAATGAGCGGGACATTCCCATAGGTAAATGCTGAAGGAGGGCAAGTGTGCAGCTGTGTGAGCTGTCAGCCTGCTTGGTATCTCCACAGCAGCAGTCACTGACATTTACTTTTCAATGTGGGAATGCACAGAGGAGCAGTGCTGAGGCTGACTGTAGGGACAGATGCTGTCCCTCATTCCCAACTCCTTTGGATTCTCCAATTTTGGCTTTTCCCTGCAAACTGTTTGTTTGGACAAGAGGTGATGGCCTCAACTTGTGCCAAGGGAGGGTCAGATTGGATATTAGGAAACATTTCTTCTCTGATAGAGTAGTGATGCACTGGTACAGCTGCACAGGGAGTGGTGCAGTCACCGTCCCTGGAGGTGCTCCAGAACCATGAGATGTGGCATTGAGGGATGTGGTTGGTGGGCATGGTGGGGTGGGTTGGGTTTGGACTTGGGGATCTCAGGTCTTTTCCAACCTTAATGGTTCTGTGATTTTGTTCTCGGCAGCTCTGTGCCCTCCTGATCTCTCCATCCCTATGGCCAGAGCTCCCTCCTCTCCCCTACTTCCTCCTGAGCCCTGGGGAAGCTAGGAACACTCCAGCTCCTTCCCAGCTCAGGGAGTTGCAGCAGGTGCAGCAGCTGCAGTGCATGGAGGGCCCCATCTGAGGCCATCATACAGGAGCACTGAGGTCTCCAGGAGAGCCCAGCACCTTGCAGTGATGCTATCCTCAGCTATCTGTCATGGGAGGGATCAGACTTTGATGCATATTCACTTCCTCCCTTCTCCAGAGCAGCACAGGTTATGTTCAGCCAGGTCCTGCTGCTGAGTTTGAGAGGAAAAGATTAGCAGCAAAAAGCAAAGCAGGAAAATGGGACCTAGTGCACAAATCCTTTCTGCATGATGCACAGCTCCTTATCCACCCCCACTGCAAAATGCATCCAGCATCCACCCGAGGGGACGAGCACCCTGGGTCACTTTACCTTGAGCTGCAGCCTGGTACAAGGGAAAACATCCCACTGAATTCCTATGCATTGCTGTCAGCTGGGTGCTGCTTACATGTCCCCAGAGAGCTCCTTGGAGCTGCAGGGATGTGGGATGCGTTGTGCACTGTGGTGTGGGTTGCTGTTGGGTGAGGTCTTCCTGAACAAGGCATCCAACTGTTTCCATAACACACGGTGCTGTGGAAAATTAGCACAAATTAGCAGAGCCCAATTATGCACCTTGGATTGGTGTCAGGCGCGTGTGTGCGCGCATGTGTGTGCCTTGCTGGCTGGCAAAGTCTTCTGAGGGCTGTTAGAGAAATGAGAAGCCAAGCTTTGATCTGCCTCTGTATTTGGTGTTTAAAACAAGGCCTTTTATAAGCGAATATTAGGTATTCGGAGTCTGTTACATACAAGGAAGCTTCGCTTTGATCCTCTCCTGTCTCCAGAGGCGGCAGACACTTATTATTTCATGGGGAACTAAATGAAATGCAGAATGAAATTTGAGTAGTGCTCTCGGTGCGTGCTGGCCCCGGTGGGGCTGAGCCGTGGTGGTGGGGCAGCGTGTCACCGTGTCACCGTGTCACCCTGCTGCTGGCCTCAGTGTGCTGCATCCCTGCTCTGTGCCATTGCAGCCCGCGGTGCAGTGATTCCCTGTCAGGGATCAAACAGGAGACAGAAGGTGATAAAGCAAGCATGTCGTGTTTTTGATGCTTGCACCAGCGAGAGGAATTATCGGCGTGTCCTGAGCCTTGTGCTGTGCCCCAGCTCCTGCAGAGGGGGTTTCCCAGGGAAGGAAGGACGGAGCTGCAGGTGGATGGGACAGAGGTGGTGTCTTTTGCACATGTGGCTGGTTTATGGCATGCAGAGCAATGCTGCTGGCTGCAGGGACAGACACCTGAGAGAGGACATCATACATGTATCACATTGTGCTGCAGGTCCTTACCTCTGGAGCACTGGTGTGCATCCCCACCCCACACACAGCTCCTACCCCACGCACAGCTCCACTTGGTGCCTCCTGCCCCATGCTCAGCTCCACACTGGGCACAGATGCAGGCTGCTGCAACTTCCCTCCTGCTCAGCTACCAAGGCTGCACTGTCGATGCCACTTTCCCAGCAAACTAATGAGCGTGCTGCTTTTTGCATGATGGCTTATTTTGCGGAGAGAGCGCGCATGCCTTGCATCAGCAGATAAACCCTCAGCCCCTCATTCCTCCCAGCTCAATGGCATCCAGAAGCCGTGCTGGGGCAGCTCAGGGGAGAAGACCCAATGCAGGAAGCAGCTGCAAAGCGAGGGGCCGGCAATTAGAGCGGTTGCAGTGCATGGCAGCCGCAGGCTCTTTAACTTCCGCAGGCTGTGCCGCAGATAACGCAGTTACAGCCACTACCGGAGGCAGCACGGGCCTCTCCCTTTATTTATTTATTTTTGATGGTATCTGATGCAGCCTCCGCCGGTAATTGAGTGTTTGAGAGTGAAAAATTATCTCCCCAGCTTGGCCCTTATCTTGACAGCAAAGCAGCGCTTTTAATTTAATTTTGTTCCAAGCATGCGGGTAACAAATTTTCACTAATCGCTGCGCTGTCGCCCTCCGCATGGTAACAAGGCTCTGCTCCCCAGGTAGTCCGGCAGGGCAGAGGGGATGGCACACGGCGAGCTGCTTCTCACTCTGCCCATGCTGAGATGTATTCCTTCCCGGAGCAATTGCTGGAAGGCAGCGTGGGAAAGCTTTGCGTTGAGGAAACTGAGGCACAACCGTGCCCCAACCCATTGGGAGCTCCTGCAGAGCAGGGATTCGTGTTGTGCTTCTCCTTTGGAAATAGAGAGAGAAGGAAGAGTGGTTGTCTGGGGCTTTTTTTTTGCATGCCTGGTGTTAAAGCAGCCCAGCTTGGCTGAGCATCACCCCGTGTGCACCGTGATCCCAGCTCGGCTCACTGTCAGCAATCCTCCCAGGGCTGTGACACGATGTGAGCTATTGAGTAGATACTGATTACTTTATTTTTTCCTTTTTCCTGTAGGAAATATGTTTTTGTGGTGCTGGCTTGAAAATTGTTCTCCCTCCTCCTTGCCTTGAAGCCTCCCGCTCAGATTTGTGTTAGTGCTCAAATAGTGTAGAACTGGGACTGGAGTTCAAAACAGAGCACAAAAATGAGACCTTAATTCTGAGCGAAATGTT